ACCGTGAATCATGCGAGTTCACGGAAATGGCCCCGCAGCGGCGAACCACTGCATCAGTGTCTATGGTTATACGATCTTGGATCAGTTTGATCAATTTGTAGACATTTTTAATGAGACATTTGTGTAATTAAAAGGATGAGTAGTAGTTAATAGTCTCTTACTGGCCTGTTTAGACAAGCTCTCCATAAAACAAACAAAACAAGCCCTTGCAAATTAATAATAATTATTTTAAAGACGCATAGGCCTATTATACAGACACTTCATTTTTAATAGTATTTTATTATTTTGATTGCCTTTAATATATTATACTTTCAAGAAAGCGTATTCATTGGGTTTGTAAAAGCTGTTTTTATGCATGTTTTGGTCTGAGTTTTTGTTGCATTTACACAGTTTTGACCAGCAGGCGTCACCAGCGTGTGGTGTTTCGAGCACTTCGAAACAGTGAAACATTTTGCGAAGCAATTGGTTCAGTTGAGTCGAAGCTTCGAAATGGTTAGTTTCTCCCATCACTAGTAAACACACTAACTTGCGGAAGTGTTTGTGGGCAGGTCAGTGTGTTCGTATTTCGTGGGCAGGCGGGGATTATGTAAATGTGTTAGCTTGTGACGTATATAGGTAACAGGCAGAAGATTCGAAAATATGACAACTCCTTAAGGCAGTTCAGAATCTACTCTTTCTTTTGAGAGACAATGTCTATTTATCATGCACTTTTTTGATTAACAACTTTGCAGACTGTTTACATTGAAGGATACGTTACAAACTGCAAAAAATATATTTTTCAAAAACCCATATGACCTGCTCTTTAAGGGGGGGGGGTGATTCTTTTCTATATCCACTGTATGTATGTATGTATGTATTTGTATATATATATATATATATATATATATATACATACATACTGTATTTATGTATGTGTGTGTGTGTGTGTGTATTACCATTAACATTTTTGGTTTCCAAAAATAGGTTTGGCCAGTTGGCCCTGGTACCAAAAAGAAACAAGTTTTCATGGCCTGTATCATTTTTCCTACTTAATAACAGTGAGCATATTTTGTAGCTTTTTGTGTAGCCAATAGTTCAGCCACAATTTGGCTTTCAAAAATAAACATACTCTGAGAAATATTTGCTTGTCTAAAAAGTGCTAAACAACTCTAATA